CCAAATGAAGCACATTTTGAAGTAATTAATACGTATGAGAGTTTGTCGAAACGAGCTAAGTATAATCGAAAATTACTTTCTAATTTTGTAGATCGATGGAGGAAAGAGTACCTACTGGGGTTGTTGGAAACTTACAGGCCAAGATATTTGTATCCTTAGGAAGGACCAGAAAAAAAGGTCCTTTTGGAAACTTTGCCTAGTGTTAGAGCTGCTGACAGGAACAGATGGTTCAGTGCGAGCAGCCAGGGTATTAGTATTATCACGGGATGGCAGCCAAGAAAATTTTGAATCGAAATTTGAAATATCTTATTCCGTTAGAAATTCGATGTTCCTATTGGCAGAAAACTGAGTGTGCCGCTAATGCAAACAAGGACACGCGAGCAATGCCACCTCAGGGTAGTGCGCAGCAAACGCAACCTAGGCAAAGGCAACAAGCGCCTTCGCAACCACTGCAAGTTATTACTAGGGCGAAACGCAACGCTGCTATTATTGGAGAAATGCAAAGGCAAGCTAGTATGAAACGTAGATGAATATATTGTGATTTGCAGTTATGTTTCGAGTTTAAAATATTATAGTTGATTTTATATTCGTATTTATAAGGATGTTCGATTACGCTGTATATCAAACCGGGGGAGTGTTGGAGCGATCGAGTCCTGGGAATAGGGTGGTGCCTAGTCTTTCTCCCGTCGACCACTGCGTTGACATGTCTTTCGTGATAAATCGCTTCGGCACATGACCTCAAGGGCTAGTTTTTCTTCATTTTTCTTCATTTTATAATATTCATATAGGTTAAAGGTTCATACATATATTTGTTTTTCAACCTGACCTGTTTAAAAGATTAAAATAAGCTCTAATACCAAAAAGGAAAGAAATTTACTAATCAAACCTAATTTACAATATTATATAAAACTAGGGCTATAAAAAGAGAACGTAAAGATGAAATAAAAGTTGTCCCCGACTATAGCTGTTCTTTGAAGGTTTTCAGGGAGGGGGCCAATTTAGTAGCTCTTTCTAGGCTGTTCCACAGTTTTGGACCGCGATAAGAAAAGCCTTTTGGCCATTTATCGTTTTTGTGTACGAAGAATTGAGTACACTATGTAGTGGGTCGCGGGGAACGCATACATATACCTATATATATATATATTATATTAATATAATATAGTATATATGATATATATATATAGACTGGAGTTCGATTCCGACCAAGAGTTGCTCGATACAATTGAGCAGCACCCTTGTGGAAAGAATTTTCCTCCTGTCAGCATTTGCCTTATGATTATATATATATGTATATATATAGAGACGCTTTTCCGTAAGTTTTTTCCTATGCAGGGCATGCTCGTTTTCCTGTAATTAGGGTACCGATTTCTATTGCTTGCGGCCACGAAATGATGTTGACTCAACGTCATTACGAAGTCAACGATGCAAAGAAGCATTGTATCATTGCCAGAAGGGAAGTTGGCACTGCTTTTCGCGAAAACAATCACTCCTTTGTGGCATGACGTGATTTAAGAAACGTATATAGTGGCAATAAAAGTTTTGATTGGTAAAAGTGTATTGCTATTGTCAATTTTGCAATTGTTTTTCTTCGCATGTCAGAGCCCTGTGCTCCTACCACGAAGATACCTCAGCACGTACTCTAGCGCTCCAAAGTGCCTAGAGCTGTGCACTTCGCGACTGAAAAGATCTTACAAATCGTGTCACCTAACCTAATACTTTGCAACGTAATAACACCACAATTTCCAGCTAAAGCAATTTCAAATCCAAAAAGCAAGTAAGCAAAGAATAACTATCTTTGTCGCAATAAACAACTAAATTTCGCGGCTCAGCGTTTATGCCCTCAGATGCTGTAGGTGAAAGGTTCGAAGATCATCGATCGCATCAGTTAATATTGAAAGCTTTATAACGGTTTCCATTCCAAAAAGCAACTCAAATATGAAGTATAACTACCCATGGGTGTAGCGGATGCTATGAAACTACCTACAAAGCATCAAAAGAGTACCGGCATTTTTCGTACACAGCGACAGGATACCTATGTTTATCAGCGGTATCTTAAGATCAGTTTCTGATGAACGCAGAAACCGTTCTACAAAAATAATAATTGATATGGATGTAGTTAACAATAGTTCATTCATTTAGACCCCGTTTACACTGTCCCGGGACAATTTTGTACCGTTACGGTTCGCAAGTGTTTACACTGTCGCGGTTCCAAATTGTTCCGTTTAGCCGTTCCGTTTACACTGTACCGGTACGACCTTAATTTAATGGTAGAACATTGTTTAGAAGAAGCTGTATTTAGTCAACCAAGGCTTTTATTTTGCCGCTGAAGTCAACAATCGAATTTTGATTGTGAGTTAAAATGGAGCGGAAGGCCGATTAAAACTTTACTTGGACGAAAGACAAGGTGGCTTTAATCTTCAGTGTTATTTTAGACTACAAAACTGGCAAAGTCCAATCAAGGTTTGGACTGGGAAACACTACAAGCCTTTTCTGTGGTCGTCTTTTCTTCAGAATTTCCTTTTCTTCAGAATTTGAGAACGTAGTTACGCCACAATCAAAGCCTCTTTTAACTGAAACAGCCATACAAAAGACCTCTTTGTGAATCCGTGACAAAATCGTCTCGGATATGTGTTTACACTGTCCCGTTCAAAAACGGAACCGTGACGGTACAAAATTCGTTCGCTTTCAAAGCAGGGTCAAAACTGTTCCGGATAGCAGAGCAAAATCGTCTCGGTTCCACAGTGCTAGTGTAAACGCAAGGGCGAACCGCGACAGTTTTGTCACGGTTCCAAACTTGCACGGGACAGTGTAAACGGGGTCTTAGTTTGAGCTTATCGGCTTTAGCTTTGTGACTCAAGGTATTTTCTTTACACATGACTTTAATGCACGTAATAACCTCGTTTCAAGAGTCGTTAGGAAACTGACTCAAGATTCAAGCTTCACAGGTATTGAGTATTGGCGTCAATCTATTGTTAGAGAGATTTAACTTTTCATGTTTTGGTAAAATCTGATTGGTTTGACGAATTGTTTTTCTTAATTCCTATTGGTTACGCTATTTTTATACTTATTGTAAAACGTATATATGCACGTGTGATTTAACTTAGAGTAGAGAGTTTGAGACTAGAGTTAAGAGAATGTAAGTCTCAGTATTGAAATTTTTGATGTTGAACTTGGAAGATGTTTCTTTTTGAGCACAACTCAACGCAATTAAATACGTATCTTGAACTAGCGCTTGAAGAATACTTAACACGTTCTCTATAATCCGAACATTTTGCGAAAAATTTTCTCAAGTAGTCTGGTGCAAGTAAATTTAAAGATTTGTTAGTTAGCGTGGCTGTCTCCTTTCTTACAAGATTACTGATAGTTGACCAGCCAAGATTCTGAATTATCGGAGCAGCAGACGCATCGTATGGGCTGCTAGTTACAATTCTGGCAGCTCTATTTTAGATTTTATTCAAGACGTCAAGCCTTGATTCACTACAGCAGCCCCAAACGGAACAACAGTAGCTCAAATGGGGCTCAACAGTTCCTCTATACATTTTGTTGAGTATGTCAGATGGAAGATATTTCTAAGAATACCTAATAAGTCCAAGGACTCGATTAGCCTTGGTCTTGATAGTATCGATATGCTTGTCCCAGTTACGTTTACTGTATATCTGAACATCTAGGTATCTTGTGTTGGTAATCA